CTACGGGGATTGACGAAAGTGAAAACTGAACAGGTTGGAAGCCGCAGTAGAATTGGGACAAATCATCGCAAAATGTATTTCCATGCGCAAAATAATAATTATACAACAAAACTGCACTCCTATTTTTTTTTACTAAATTGCCTTGTTCATCCCCAGACTATGCATTGCGCATGGAGATATATTATGCCCTGATATGACGCCATAGGCTGAGGCGGTTTCGCACGTTTCTTTTTATTAATTTCCCTTCCATTTTTCCTAGGCCAATGCGATTTTTCCATTCTTAACCTGTTCTATTTTTATCATTCACGTGATATCATTCTGACGAGGAGTGTCTCATTCGAGTGCTCAAAACTCGAGAACCCTTCTTACATTTCAACTGTGAAGCAAAATAAATCTTTATTTTTCGAGCGAATTCTAAATTTATTTACTTTTACTTGAGTTAATATAATCTGAAATAAGATTTAGTTTAAGTTGGAGAACAAAAATAAATTCAAGAGAAAGCTAAAAGAAAATAGATATTGTTTCTGTAATATTGCAATACGAATTAATACAATATGAAATAAGATTTAGTTTAAGTTGGAAAATAAAAATAATTTCAAGAGAAAGTTAAAAGAAAATAAGGAATGAAATTAGATATTGTTTCTGTAATATTGCAATACGAATTAATACAATATGAAATAAGATTTAGTTTAAGTTGGAGAATAAAAATAATTTCAAGAGAAAGCTAAAAGAAAATAAGGAATGAAATTAGATATTTTTTTCTATAATATTGCAATACGAATTAATACAATATGAAATAAGATTTAGTTTAAGTTGGAAAATAAAAATAATTTCAAGAGAAAGTTAAAAGAAAATAAGGAATGAAATTAGATATTGTTTCTGTAATATTGCAATACGAATTAATACAATATGAAATAAGATTTAGTTTAAGTTGAAGAATAAAAATAATTTCAAGAGAAAACTAAAAGAAAATAAAGAATGAAATTAGATATTGTTTCAGTCATATTGCAATACGAATATTTAAGAATATCCAATTTAACTTCTTATTTTAAAACTAATTTCTTTTTGTTGAAAAATGATGTAAGCCTTTAAGATACCTTTCTAAATACAAATATCTGCTTAAAGGTTGAAACTTACTTCAAATCTTTAAACTTGCTTTAAATGCAAATTTATCGTTTATTTCTTTTAGTGGAATTAATTTCTTACCGAAATTAGAAATTTTTATAATTTCTTTAACTATTGGCCTGCTATCAGCAGATAAACTCACTGATCTCATTTAATTAAGTTGGAATATTTTCTCCACCAAAATGATTGAAAAATATTTATTAAATTCGGAAAATTCTGAAACTTATTGAAATAGCTCTTTAATTAGTTACAAATTCAAATCACCTTCATGAAATGAAATTCAATTCCCAGAAGCTTCAAGTTATATTTTTAATGAGAGAAATATTATTCTATCTTGGCTGAATGATTTCAAAATATCAACCAAAAGGAATACGGCATGTTTTCAACTTAATTCGAAATTCATATTCGGGAAATGTTTACGACATCCATGATAAAATTCTGGAAAGCATGTAGAGAAATTGCTAAAAGATTGAACCTAAATAACTTTTCGACCTTAAAGCTATTATGGATTTTTTAAATGTACACATTCAATGCAAAATGTAATATTTATAACTGAAATTTGGATTATGATTAAAATTCTCTATTTCTATTATAACTTTGTTCAACCTAATGTAAATGGTGAATGGAGTTTATACATCTTGTTGTATTTCTTTCTTTTGTTAAAACTAATTAGTTAATAATGTTGAAACACACCTTATTAGTTTAATAAAAGTCAAAAATATTGTATTATGATGGGTTTTATTAAAGCAGATCTGACTCATGATATTTAAATTAATGATATTTAAATTAAAAAAGGGGCAATTAAATGATGATGTAAGAAATAAAAAAAGATATCCCCATGATTAAATTTTGTTTTAATAATTGAATCTGAAGTGCCGATCTTAATAGTTCTAAGGATTAACCTCAAATATGTTAATTAATTAACGCTATCTATTAATTAAGTAACGGAAACAGTCCCAAAAATATATTTTCTCTAAAGCAACATATTCTATTCTCTACAGATCTAGATTATTGACTATTAAAATGTGAGTAGTAGCTGCTAACTGGAAAATTTAGTCTAAATATTTTATTCAGAGCTTGAATCTCATGTAAGCAAATCAACCTTTATATAAAGCTATATTGGGCCGGTGTAGCCAGGTAGGTAGGGTGTTGGGATCAAGTCCGAGAGTTCCTGAGTTCGAATCCCCATGGCAAAAAACTCCCTGTGTGTCAAATAAGTCTCTCTGGTAGCACGCTTAATCTACAGGAATCACTAAGTCCTCCAATTTTCCATAACAAATAAATACATCTTGGAGTACTAGATCTGAAAGTGAGCGTTCTCAGGTCCAAATTGTGATCTGAGGATGGAAGAATGGCACGCGAAGAAAAAATTCTTTCTGTAAAACGGGCTATAACGTATTTGTGCTGCAGAAGTCAAATTCTTGGCCATAGATGGCGCCACTGGAAAACAAGAAGAAGATCAACCCTTCGCCTTTAAATAGGCTTGCTGGTATGGCAAGTGGCATAAGACAACAACAACCACAACATAACACTGCATTGAAACCTTTATAACTTTCATACTATTTGTTTTATCAACTGCAGGTTAGGTTAAAAAATGAGTCGTAGAGTGAGCAGTTTAAGAACGTGAAGAACTATATGCTACCTCGAAGCTATAAGTTAAGTAGCTAGTCCAGCCACCCTCCAAAGTCTCTGCCCGCTTTTTCATTCCTCCGATATGAATTTAAAATACATAATACTATGGATTCAGCTTTGCATTTTGTCAGTTTTGTCTTAGGGAGCCGCAAAGTGGTGGGATCCCACATGATTTCTTCCCTTTAAATTTGCACTTAAGCTACCAATGCCATGGGTTTCAGTGCTATGCTGCTGAAGGCAGCAGCGACTAAACATTATCATTGTTGATATTACAAGCAGTGATGGCTCAGTGGTTAAAGCATGGAACTATCATAGTAAAGAACTGGGGTTTGATTCCCAGAGGTGGCATGAAGCATACCAAAATTGCCACAACTATGCCGTTTATCATGAAATTAGGGAGCCTTAAACTCTATGTGACTTCCCGGCCCTAAATGAGCTTTTGAGGGAATGCTTATTTCTTTATTAAACATTACAGGGGTCTAGTAACTTTTTATTTCCTTGAGTTTTTTATTTTTTTGTGAATTTACTTTGTGTGCTTTTCTTAAATATTGTTATTATACTTATTGTTAGTTTCCTTTTTTTCAAAAATACGGTTTTTCGTTTTTTTCCCTTTAAGCTTTCTGTTAGTTTTTTTTCCACAGCAGTAAAACTTGATATAAGTACGCGTAGCATAAATGAGCCATTTAATTTATTTTCGATAGTAATATTGCGTCAAAGTTTTTTGTTGCCCCATTAAAGAAATCCAGACATTCTATATGAAATTGAAGGTCTGGAAATCGATACTACAAAAATCATCACATTCAGAAAATAGACCAGAACTTTAGCTCTACGTTTTCATGGGTTATTTATTGTCCGTTAAAATTAAATTAGAGTCCAATGCACTCGAATACATAGCTTCAATATCTCAGTCAGTCACAAGAGTTTATCCAAAAGCATAAGGAGTCTTAATGATCTTTTTATCGAATATTGAAGCCTAGGAGATTTTTACACGGCGAAATCAAAATATCTTGCAATATTCACAAAATCGACCTTTATGACAATGACAGTTTAATGGTCTAGATAGGCTTTTTCAGGAACCAATCAGAATCTAAAAATGACGCTGCTGAACGAGTGGTAGTAATTGTCATAGGAATAGATAAACTGTTACTTCCAGCACGAAATCAGGGAGGCCTGTATTAACTAGGAGAAAGCAAAATCATTACTAACTTATTTTTTTCCTCTTTCTATAATCCCTGTTTTATACCCTTCGACTCCGATTGTTGTAAAGCCCAAGTATGTGTGTATGTATCATATATGTGGCGTCAGTCCCTGAAAGCTAAAAGCTAATCCCTGTTGTGAGAAGCAAGACTAATCCTTTAGATTCACCTCCTGCGCACATGACAAAAAATCAGTAAGAAGACTGTTTGGAACGAAAAAAAAGACGTACGTACTTCAAAGAGAAGTACAGATCCAATTCTAAGATGAACTCTTTCGAATCTATTATTTGTATTATTTCTTTGTAAAGTGAATCGTTCATATTAGTGTAAAGTTATTTGTTAATATATAATTTTGTTTACTTGTAAGAATTCCGTATTTTCATATTCGAAGACGCCTGAACACTCAAGCCTTCCCACATATTTATTACAAAGGTTGAATCATTATTTTGTTTGTAATATATATCAACCTATATTTATACCAAATTAAACTTAGATTGATACATTAATTCGAAAGTTATCAGCAAAGCATAAAAATTCGATTAATATTGCACACAGGCGATAAAATATTCATGCAAGGATTATTTTAATATAAAAGAATTTTAATCAATAGAATTTTTGAAATTTATTACTAAAACATTGCATTAAATAAAATATACTGAATATTTTTATAACTATGGAGATTGAAATATGAAATAATAAATTTTGCATTAAATTAACGAAAGGTTTTTACTTATTAATAATGAAATAAAGTGTTGAAAAGGTCTTATGCACCTGTTATAATATCTGCTTGCTGGAAGCATAGTTTTAATAACTATAAATAAATAAGATTTTCATATTGGATGAATTTAATTTTTAATTAAAATTGAATCGCTTTATTTTGTATTTCAATTACATTCACTACTGTCTTTAAAATAAATAAAATGATGCGCAAATATTTATTTAAATTTTCTGTGTGAAGGCGAATATTAAATTGTATAAAAATATTGATTAAAATTTATGAATATGAAGCATTTGCTATAACTAAAATGTTGTAATCAGAAAACTTACTTTCTTTTATTGGCTGCTCTACATAAAGATTTTGTGGAAGAACTGAAATAACAAAAATTAAACATACATTTTATTACAATAAAATTAAAAATTAACAATGAATAAAATCATTTACTAAGTTATATTGTGAAATTAATCTATGAAACTAAAGCATATATTTTCGTGCATCTAAACAATTAAACATTGATAATCAATACACAAATAAGTAACACTCGGGAACAAATTTTTGTTGCGTCAATGCAAATCTTGGTGTGGAAATAACTTTTGCTCAAAAAGCTACAGATGTTTTTTAAATTACATTTCTACTCGAAATGTGCAAGTTTAAAAATATTATGTATAAAAGTGGGTCACGTAAATGTGTCGATAAACTGCCAGGGTAGTTAGGGCAGATCATCCGAACTATAATTGCATCGGAACCCATGCCTAAAACGCCATCGCATGCAGCTAGAGACGCTTTCCAATTATGACGTGCTCAGAAGCACACGAAGAAATAGTTCATAATAGGGAAGTGCTACTAGCGACGTATGAGAAGATTTCCGGTCACAGGTTCCTATGCAATTTCAATCCTGATGATGTGCTCGGACTCTCCAGCAGTTTGTCGCCCTCTTGGCGAACAAAAAACAAGGGGCGAGCTCAAATGATCAGAAAGTCGGGTCCACAATCGTGGGTGCCGGGAGAAAAGTGTTGCACCAAGCAGACTCCTCAATTCTGCTTTTAACATGTAAAGTCTATGGCGGGCTTGTCATACTTTGAATCCATTTTTCTTGTTCAAGAATCGGAGTGATCTTAGCGACGTATGAGAAGATTTCCGGTCATAGGTTCCTATGCAATTTCAATCCTGATGATGTGCTCGGACTCTCCAGCAGTTTGTCGCCCTAATGATCTGTCTACCCCTGAGGATATTTTACGTTAGCACTGTGGTCAGTGCGAGCCGGGTGCGGAATTCGTATCGACCATCTACTGCTGGGAGTCGAACCCGATTATCATTTCGAATTTAACACTTTAGATTTCTAGTGTGCTGTGCACAACACATCTTGAAGAATATTCTTGATAATCCATTTCTTATTTCTATCTATCTATCTATCTATCTATCTATCTATCTATCTCTCTCTCTCTCTCTATATATATATATATATATATATATATATGAAAGCAAATGATCTGGTTCATCCATTGAGTATCTTCGGAATTAATAGATTTAACGATATAAATGAATTTTACAGATTTAAAATAGCCTGAAATGAGAAATTTCTATAAGAAATTTTTTTTTTAATAGAAATGTCACTTAGCTGGTTCTCTAAGCTGTAAGCTCTTCCACTAAGCTCTTCAATGATTTGTTTGTTACAATTACATTTCTCAGCAATCTCACCTGACAAACAAAATTACTTTTTGTTGGATTTATATCAGATTGGCAGGACTAAAGAGAAATAGAAGGGCTGGTTCACTCCTTTGAAGAAACTCTAGCCGCGCCAATCCTCCTATTTTCTCTAGTGACGTCACTTTGGCGCAAAGCTCGCACTTTTACTTCAAGAACAGAGCGTTCGGCCTTACTAGCTCCAACTTATATTGGAGCATTTCTTTCTGTGAGATATTCTAAGACATTTGTTATTTTCTATAATGACTTTCCTCAGTTTTTGCAGTGAATTTACAAGAATTTAAAACAATTATCGAAATGCCAGTTTGCGCGATTGCAACTTGAAAAAATTTTGATATAAAAACAAAAGGAAAAAATATAATTTTCAGCGTGTTCCCTAAAGTAAATGAACAACTATGTAAAGAATGGATTCCGAAATGACACAGTTAATATAAAACAGCAATACGTTTCTTCTATCGTTAAGAACTTTTATAAACATTTGTTGTCTAAATTCGTTACTTCAAAGAGAAAGGCATGTGAAAAAAATTAAAAAATAGATAAAGTCAAAGAAAATTAAAACGTTAGTAAAAAGCATAAATAAAATATATGGTGTACAGTTGAAATTCTCCTAATTTCATAGCTTATTTTTTTATTGAAGTTATTCTAAATATTTATGATTCTTTCAAAAATTATATTCTCTTGGATTTAAATATCTATAAATTATACCATCTTTTCATCCATTGAGTATCTTCGGAATTAATAGATTTAACGATATAAATGAATTTTATAGATTTAAAATAGGCTGAAATGAGAAATTTCTATAAGAAATCTATCTTTTTTTAGAAATGTCACTTAGCTGGTTCTCTAAGCTCTAAGCTCTTCCACTAAACTCTTCAATGATTTGTTTGTTACATTTCTCAGCAATCTCACCTGACAAACAAAATTATTTTTTGTTGGATTTATATCAGATTGGGGACAAATTTTTATCATTGATGAATTATTATTTGAAAATATATTTATATTCAAGATTATTGTGAAATATAGAAAAATAAATTATCATATCCTCAATCACTTATTGATATTGGATTTTCAAAATTAGCTCTAATTATTTTCAGATGCTTAACAATGATAAAAACATGCTTTACTTTATGTTAGAAAGCAAAAAATTTTGTGTTAGAAATATGAAACGTTCTAAACTGAATTAAAAATTGGGTAGGATTAATGTTAAAGGTTTTTTTGAACTGAACAGAGGTACATAATTTTAATTTTTGAAAATTTAAGGTGTTGTTGTTTTATTGTTAATTAATTGGTTTCTATAATTAATGCTTTGAAACCGAAAGTATCAGGTTTACTTTGAATTTAGCATACGTATAATGTTTTTAAAAAAAGCAATAAAATATGAAAAAAATTGCTTTTGTAATTTAAAAAAAATTTAAAGTATAATAGNGTAGATAAGAACTAGTGTCTTGGATAAGCCATCTCCCTATTTTAATACGAGAGGAAAATCATTAATATTGTTTTAAGAATAATGGAATGTATTCATCATGCATATATATATAAAGATTTTAAAAAGCTGTAGTTTGTTGCAGTTGTGAATATTAATAAGCAAAAGAAATTTTAACAATGTTTTTAATTTAATAACTATGATTATTAAAATTGAAAGTCAAAACTTGTAACAAAATTCTTAGATTTTAAAGTTTCCATAATTTTTCTTTGGATTGTTTGGTACATTGTTGTATATAACATCTATTAAAGAATAGTTAAACGTAGCATAGTTTAAGACAGGCATAGTTAAGAATATTTTTAATCCCCTCAGAAAACATATTTTAAGGAGATAGTAAGTCAAATAAAAAACTTTGTTTACAATTCTCTTCAGTTATAAAAACTAAAAATGTAAAACTATATCGAATACTTATTATTATTTCGAACATCGGACCTTCAATATATTTTGAAGAGAAAAATTTCTCTTACATGCTTGAAATATATTGTTAAACTATTACATTTGTTGAATTTTATAGTATTTTGTATCCAATTTAAAGTACATCAGCGAATTGAAACTAGATCAAAGAACGCGCTCAAGAAAAATGGACGAACATAAATTATTATTCAATTGTTTTTCCGAAAGAACTCAAATTCGATGTTCTTCAAAATTTAACGATGTAATTTGTCTGAAGGAGATGTTTGGTACCATAGATACGAACAAGCGTTTTGTATAAACCATTATCATATTTTAATATGAGAGGAATTTTGTTTTCAGAATAACGAAACTAATTCATCATAAATGATTAATAACTTCTTAATTCCATTACTTTTGTCTCTTTGAATAATCCATGATGTGAAATGATTTGAAAACAATTGTGGATTCTATTATGATACAGACTTATATTTAAATTTATAAACAATTGTTTTTTAAACATAATAAGATACAATTTTTAATTTAAAATAAAGTTTCAATGTAAACTTTCTTATAATGAGATATATTTTTCGGTTTTAATGTCTGAATGTAAATTGTCTGAATTATAAGCAAATATATTATTATATAAGCATCTTGTATAAACCATCTCCATATTTTAATACTAGAGGAAAATCATTAATATTGTTTAAAGAATAATGGATATAATTCATCATCCATGATAACAACTTCTTAATTCCATTACTTTTGTTCCCATGACTACTCTGTGATCTGAAATTATTTGAAAACAATTGTGTATTCTGAAATGTTACATAAAATATTTAAATATTTGTTTTCAAATTTAAATATTTATACAATTGTTTTCTAAATATAATAATATGGAATTTTTAATTTAAAATGAAGTTTTAAAATATACTTTTCTTATAATAATCTATATTTTTCAGTTTTAATATCTGAATGTAATTAGTCTGAATTGTAATTTGTAATTGTCTTATAATTATAACTGTCATGTCTGAATTGTAAATTGTCTAAAACAGCTGTTTTTTTTAAACATAGATACATACAAGCGTCTTGTATAAATCTCCATATTTTAATACGAGAGGAAAATCATTAATATTGTTTAAAGAATAATGGAAATAATTCATCATCCATGATTAACATCTTCTTAATTCCATTACTTTTGTTCCCATGAATAATCCGCGATGGGAAATTATTTGAAAATAATTGTGAATTCAAAATAATACATACTAATATCTAAATATATTAGCAAGTTGTTTTTTTAAATAAAATAATTTTTAATTTGAAATAGAGTATTAAAGCATACGCTTTTACAGTAAGGTATATTTTTGGTTTTATTTATCAATCATATAAATGTATGCATTTTGATTGAAGCTTATGTATTGTTTAAAATTTGTATGCTTGAAGCTTATGTATTTTTCAAGAAAAGGATCAATTCAAGATATAATTATACAAAAACAGCTTTCAAGAAAATTGCCATTACAATGAATTGAAATTTTTCATTAACGTTTTTTTAAATTTAATTCAGTTTTGTTTAAAAAAGGTTTTGTTATGAGATTTAATTATAATTGATGATGATTTGATTTAAATTTATGAATAAAATATTTTAAAATTATATTAAGTGAACATTAATGTGATTTATTTTGCTTTGAAATTGTAAAAAAATGTTTCTGCGCCATTTAAAGTCAGAAAAAGCTTTTAATTTTATTTAAAGAATCAACTTTTTTAAAAAGATATGATTTCATTTAAAAGTATAAATCATGATTTATAAAACTGATGTTCATGAAATAATTTTAACTTAGAGTGTAAATTACAATATTAAAACAAGATCTTAATAAAATTATTATCTTGTTTTAAGAGTTAAAAAACAAATAAATCTTTTTACGAAAAAAATCAAATTCAATTAGTTTTCAAATTTGATGTACAACAATAAATATGAACAAAAATAAGCATTTATTATAACATACATATTTACTTTATAAACAGTAAATGTTTAGTTTTAATATTAGTTTCAATTTGTTCTTTTAATTCAAAATTCAGTTACTAAATAAGTTTTTTAGTTAGATGTACTTTAGACGCGATATTCAAATAACAAATTTAATTTAAAATATAGTTTTTAAACCCACATGTTAATATTGTCTTACACTTCAGAATTATAATTCTTTTTGGTCTTAAAAAAATAGTATTTAGGAATTTTTTTTAATTTAGATTTAATTTAAAGAAAGGATGATTTTGTTTTTGCAATTGATTCATAATGCAGTTTGATTCATAATGCAGTTTGATTCATATGTATGAACGATCACAATTTAAAAACTAAATTTCATTTACCATTTTAAAAATAAAATATCATGCATATCTTTACTTATAGTGTGCGAAGTTCGTAAAGTGTGCACCTTAATAACTTTTGATTTAACTACTGGATTTTCACGTAATGAGACTCAATATTAATCGTTCTAGAACCGAACCTTCGATAACTTAATTAATTAGCGTAGAAGATTGTTAATGTAGAAAATATGTTATGAAATCAGACACAAAAAATACACTTTCTTAGAATAAGGAAATATGGTAAAATTTACCATGCTTTTGGCTGTATGGGAACACCAAAAAGCTCGGTAACTTTTACCGAAGTGCTTTGGTAATAATATTGGTAAAATTAACAGCAAAAGATGGTTTCGTAACAAATGATAAAATTTGAAAATTTTATCATGAAACCTTAGAACATGGCATACAAACAAATTACTTGGTTAAATTAATTTACAGTTTTGTATTTTTATGTGTGGTAATAAGAACTATAATTTTGAAAAACCAGAGTTTTTTGTACGTTACCATATGAATGGAAGAGTTACCAAATGAATGCTTTAAATATCATTCATGTATTTATTTATTTTAACCAGAATTTTGTTTTTTTCGAGAATTATGTTTCTTTATTTTATTATTAATTTTTTTAATCAGAATATTTTTTTTATCAAAACTTTTATAACCATACAGTATGGTAATTTCACCAGAATCTGTTTTCTCTGTGTATATATTTTAAAAGATTGATATCAAAATGGGAACTAAATATATGCCAGTTATTTTAAATTCGAATTTTATGTTTTTTCCTCACATTTGTTAAAATACGTCATACATAAATAAAATATAGCAGATGATTTTTTAGTTTATTATAATTAAATTTTAAGAGGCAAATACAATCATAGTTCTATAACATTTTATTAAATAATGTATTAACAATTGCCTGATATTAATGTTAATAATATGCCAAGCTGGCTTAATTAGTGATAGAATAAAGGACTACACACAAGATTAAACTACACAAAAACACCCAAAATTCATTCAGTTTGACATAAAAACCCATTTATTCAGTTGAATTTTTTATTTTTGCAGTTTTGTATTCTCTACTAAATGTGAAGTAATAAGAACTATAATTTAGAAAACCAGAATTTTCGTTAAACCGTTACAATAAGTAAGGAAAAATTACCAAATGAAATGTTTAAATACCTTATACTCTTGTTTTATTAACCAGAAGTATGACTTTTTTTAAATCGGAAATGTGATTATCATTCAGTGGGGTTATTTTGCCAAATCTTTTTCTCTGTGTACTTTTTTCCTCGTCGAATTTGGGTGAGGAGCCGAATATTAATAATATGAGGAATCTGGAAATTCTGATCTGGAATTTCTGGAAATCAACAAATTCTGATTCCAATAGTTAAGGCAGCGGACGGTCGAATGCTTAGACTCCTTATCTTCATTTCCCATTTTTAATTTACTCTTTAAGATGTATTTTTTAAAAATTTATTTTTCGAAAACTTTTCGAATTTCTCTGTTTATATTTTTGATTTTATCATTTGAAATTGTAAAGATTTTATTGATGATTGCATTTTTTGACTATTATAAAATTAATAGTAAAAAATATTAATAAAAAACATTTATAAAAAGAAATGGAGGAATCATCCTTGGAGGAATAAGTTTTGTAATTATGTGCTCAAAAATTATTGATTTGCTTAATTAGTTTCGGAGATTGGTGAAATACGTAGTAACAGATATTAACATTGTAGAATACAATGCAAAATACTCTGGTAAAAAGTACCTACTCTCACAGGGTGCTGGTACTTTTTACCACAAAATCCATTTTTTATTGGAACTTGGTACGGAACAAAAAATCTGGTATACCATACTTTTTATAGTAATAATTACCGTAAAATCACCGAATCACTCTAATTAAAATATATTTCATTAAAAAGTGTGATATCATATTAGAGTAAAAATGGATTTTAAGAATGATGCATCTAAAGTGCCGATATTTAATACTGTAATTTAATCCGGAATTTTTTACACTATTTCTTCCATATTTTGTGGGTCGAAAATCTAAATCCATCAAAAAATATTTGCTTGTTCTGAGAAAATGCGCTTCGTGCCTGATTTCGTAACTTAAACTATCGTCTGCCCAAACTAGTTAGCATATTTACGGTTATTAACGTGTCTTGAACCACTTAAAGTGAACCATTAACCGGATGTCCCAATAAAAGTTATAAAAGTGTTTTTTTTTTAATTTTATGAACTATACTTTTGAAGTTCACATACTTACTTTGCAGGTACCATAGTAAAAAGAGAACTAATAATAAAGTGAGTAAGAATAAATTTAAGACGAGAAGGCATATCTTCCATCTACTCCTCCTTCGGTTTGACCCTTTCCAATCATCGGCTTCGGCTTCTGCCAAGGGACACTGCAAAAAAGAAATGGAAATTAGTAAAGATAAATGTAGAGATTCATGCAAATTAACGGAAACAACACACCAACATTTTATATTAATATTTTTAAAATTAATTTCAAGTGATTCACATTTTATATACTAAAGTAAAAGTTTTTGTCCTTTAAAATGACTTTTACTGCATTATAATACCTTAAAATATTTTGAGACATTATGTTATTCCTAACAATGAATTTTGATAAATGATATTTTATCCGTTAATACAAATTTTAATGCACCATTATTTATACATCGAAATAAATTTTGCCATGTATTTTGACAAAATTTATTTTATCCGTTAAAATAAATTTTGGTTCATTAAATTTTATCCGTCAAAACGAATTTTGATACATTATTTTTTATGACTTGAAGGAAATTATGTTACACTTTATTTTATCTCTCAAAATGAATTTTGATACATTATATTTTATGACTTGAAGGAAATTATGTTAGACTGTATTTTATCTCTCAAAATGAATTTTGATACATTATTTTTTATGACTTGAAGGAAATTATGTTACACTGTATTTAATCTCTCAAAATGAATTTTGATACATTATATTTCATGACTTGAAGGAAATTATGTAACACTGTATTTTATCTCTCAAAATGAATTTTGATACATTATATTTTATGACTTGAGGGAAATTATGTTACACTGTATTTTATCTCACAAAATGAATTTTGATACATTATATTTTATGATTTGAAGGAAATTATGTTACACTGTATTTTATCTCTCAAAATGAATTTTGATACATTATATTTTATTCTTTAACGCAAATTATGTTACGTCGTATTTCATCTCTCAACATGAAATATATGCATTGTATTTTATACTTTAAAGGAAATTTTGTTTTGTTAAAGGAATTATTCTTTAAAGGAAATGTAATTAAAAAAATTATTTTGCCGTTGCATCCTTGTAAATTTATTTCCAGTGTATTTTCGCATTAAATGAAGAATTCATAATAAGTCAAGTTAAAATTAAATAATTTGTCACAATAAGTACGTTAAACAAATATTTCTGTTGCAGGGAGTTGTTTAGTAGTTTTCCTTTGATTCCATTAATATAATTACTTTTAGCTTTTTTATTATTGACTTAGCGGTAAGATGGACGGCAGGAGGTGATAGGTCAAAGCTTTTAAGGGGAAAAAATGTCAAAATCTGGGCGTTCCTAAAAATCAGTAGAATAAGCATTAGACAGAGTTAATTTAATTTGTCATGGCTTGAAATGTTCTACCTTTGATATGCTTGATGCTAATCAATCTTGAAATGCTGTATTGATGAAAATGTTGTAAATGATGGAAATTGAATAATTCTTTACTAACATATCTACAAGTTATTAGGCTAAAGGTTAAATAAGTAAAAGTAAAATGATAAAGCATAACATAAAATGACCCTATTGTGCTTATTTTAAATGTTAAACTTTTTACTTTAAAAAAAATAAATGCTAATAAAAAGTATTGAATTTGTTATCCTTATTTATAAAGGTCTGAAACTTTTAAGTTAGAAATTGTTTTGTCGTGAAGGGATAGTCTTAAGGGATAAGAAAAAATATCTGGTTATAAATAAAAAAAAGCAGTTATTAAAAATTTTGTTTTGCATCATAAATTATCTGTTATAATTATATAACAATGTGATCATAGATAAAAATGTTGTGTTGTCTTTTTTATAAAGTTTTAATGTTTATATAGTTGTGCTAACGCTGTGTTTTATACATTTTTATAATGTTTTAAATGATAACCACTTAATATTATTTAAATAGAAAATATGATGAATATTGCATCATCTAGGATTACGTTTAAAAATAGGGTTAATAATTTTTGGGGGTATTAACATTAATTTTAAAATAAATTTTTAACAAAATATGTTTTTTTTTATTGCTTAATTCGCATGTTTAAATATGTAAGTAGAATAAAGGAAATCCTTCCTTTCTAGCATATTTAAAAAACGTATTGCTATATTTAAAATTTTAGAAACCAATGCAAAATGTTTCTGAAAAAAAATTTCTTTTTAGTACTTCAAAATTGTAATATTCCTGTTGCGCAAAACCCATGCAGTGAAAAGCAAAAAAAAAATATTATATGCTCCTATTTTTTTAAAGAAATGAAAAAGAATAAAAAAATATTATGCGTGCACGGAAAGTATTGGTAAAATTACCGGACTGTATGATAATGACCTTTCTAGTAAAAAGAACACCCTATAATTCTGGTTAATAAAACCAAAATATTAATAATCAAACCATATTTTATTAACCATTATCTGGTTAATAAAACCAAAATATAAATTTAAGCTAATTATTTGAAAATTTTTCGGTTTATATGGTAACGGTTTATCGAAAATTCTGGTTCTTAAAATTATAGTTTTTACTACCGCAATGAAAAACTTAACAGTAAATTTAACCAAATAAATATTTTTCATGCCATGCTCTGAGTTATTATGCTAAATTACCAAATTTACCTCATTTGCTACCGAAAAGCATGGTAACAAAACAATCTAGCATTGTTAATTTATAAAAGGTCATTAGCATAGTGCTTCGGTAAAAATTAACGTGTCTTTTTACTTTTTGGTTTTAATAGAGCCAGAAACGCGTCAAATTTTACAATACTTTGGTAGTTTTGTCAGTAATTTTTTTCTCAGTGCAGAAACCAAAGTTCGCCATTAAACTACGCTTTCATATTGATGATTGCTTAATAAGGGCGTCTATATTTCGATTTTTAAATGATTACGTAAAATTTCCATCCACTTCTCTTCAGTTAAGCCTTATTCGAATTCGTCTTAATATTGATAAAATCATCAAAATGTACCACATGTACCAAATTTTATCACACATTACAAAGCCATATTTTATTGTTAATCTCACCAAAATCATAACCAAATCATTTCGATAAGAATTACCAAGCCTTTTGGTGTTTCAATAATGCTAGAAACACGTTAAATTGTACCATACTTTTTTCTCAGTCTGCTTTTGATTCGAGTATTTCGATTGCGATGGCAAACGATGCCACAACGTTGAAAGTTAAAAAACAATTCATTTGTAATATATTACAAATTGATTTTAATATTTTTAATTATTTTATTGCCCGGCATTTTAATCAAAATCGTAGAAGTTTTTCAACAGCATTAAGTGATTCCTTATCATATTTTACGCCATGAATCATTTTGAAATTCAATTTGAAGATATTAAATAGGACAGAACTGAAAATATTTGATTAACTGATGCGCGGCATTTGTCAAAAAACTTATTTTCCCAGCTACTAACAACTGTTTGATGGATTACACAGAATAAATAAGGAATTTTATTGATATATTTTCTTATAAAAAGGAACATTGTCGTTGAAGGGGCTGAGCATTATTCAACAAATATTCCTTCAATGATCTTGATCATTACTATAAAGTTTGCTAACCATTTTTTAAAACTAAATCATGGAAAACAAACTATGAAAGGGTGTTACGTAATTACCACCTTTGATATATATTTTTCGAATACATGCTCAAAATTCTTGCACACTTCAGGAATTTTTAGACCTCCATGGGAAGTTATTTCCCCACATGTAATTTATGCTGCCATCTGTTGCTAATTTCAGAAAATACAAAAAATGTACTAACAGTAAACGTTACAGTAAAGGTTAGAGTGGGATCAGCAGAGGAAGCCAATACTGGGAAGTTATTTTCTCTTATCGGTTATTACATTCGTACATATCCTCAATTTTCATCGAGCTGTTAAATTTACCAAAATTATTACCACAGCACTTCTGCCAAAATTACAGAGCTTTTGGGTGTTCCCATAGAGTCAGAAACAAGCCAAATTTTATCATATTCTGTTAGTTTTTATCATATTTTTTCTCAAGCATTTCTATGCAAGAAACTTTGAAAATAGTTATATATTGCTTTCTTAGAAATAATAGAATAGAGTTATTGTTAAGTTTGCATGCCTCTTTCAGTTTATGCACTTTAAAGCGGCGTTTTAAGGGCATAAAATTACGCTCCTTACGTTTAATCAATAGTAAAGCGAAACACAAAGTTTGAGTTTTAAGTAACTGACATCTAGTTAGTTCCTGTTTAAACTTATCATTTGGCTGGTTTCCTCTTTGAGCTTCTGACTAGTTAGAGAAATTAATGTAGTCTTCTTTGATCTTGATGGATTTTCACGATGCTGAAGATTTCAAAGATTTATATCCTCATTAATCTTAACCTCTGGAGAAATGGTGTTTTATCATCATTTCTAGATATAGCGTTATAAAATATGACATGAAAAGGGTTGAAAGTTTAGTTGAACGTGTTCAGTTTATGTTTTGAAATCTGTTTAGAGATTGACTTGGCCAGCAAAGGGTTGCGGTCGTTGACCTGACGGTTGTTCCTTCCGATAGACACACTTCATATCTTCAATAACTCAACATAAAAACAAGTAATATAATAATTGCAATTAATATTAATATGTATACACATATGACAGAATCACAATATTGAGTGGTAAAATATGAAACTAAAATTAATTAATTAAATTTAATTAATGAATTAGTATTTGAAAAAAACTGTATTAACATCAAGTGTAATCCACTATCAGTTTAAAAATATGTATTTGAATTTGAGTGGATGAATAAAAAGTATTTTATTAGTGATTTAAAATTTGAACAAGATATATAAATATATATAGGGAGAGGAAATAATTGTAGGAATTGAAATAAATGAACAGCACTATGGATTTATAATATAAATCTACTTATTAAATAATTGAAGCCATGTTTAGTAGGCATTTATGTTGCAAACGTTTTATCATTATGTTGTGGAGCAATTTTTCAGGAAAAATCTAATTTTCTAGAATTTTCCTTAGGGTTTATTGTGTGCTCTGGTATTTTTCTCAAATTTTCAGGGTTTTAGGGGTTATTTTCAAAAGTTTCAAACAAATACTGAAGCATTTCTACTGTGAGAAACAAAGAATCACCGAAATATGGTAAAATTTACCGTGTTTCTGGTTTCATGGAAACATCAAAAGCTCGGTAATTTTTATCGAAGCGTTTTGGTAATGATTTTGGTGAAAATGTCAATAAAATGTAGTTTTATAATATGTAATAAAATTTGGTAAATATGGTTTATCATAAAACTTCAGGACATGGCATGAAAACCATTTATTCAGGAAAATTTACTTTACAGTTTTGTATTTTTTTTACTAAATGTGTGGCATAAACCGTAATTATATAAATGGAAATTACGTAATTTTATCATGATACTTCAGAGCTTGGCAAATGATCCTTAAATTCGGTTAAACTTACTTTTTGGTTTTGTATATTTTATTAATTGTGTGGTTATAAGAACTATAATTTTAAGAACCAGAATTACTTGTAAACCGTTAATATACGAACGGAATAATTATCAAATAAATAGTTTAAATACCGTATATTTGGTTTTATTTATCAAAACTACGGTTTTTCTTTTCTTCTTTTTTTTTAAAGCATGATTTTTTTGTGCAAGATTTATGAGCATGTATTTCAATACGCATGGAATAGAGAATTTTAGCACATCATCCTTAAATAAAAGATTAATTGCCTTGAGAAAGTTTTATATATTTCTTAATAGCCAAATTGTTTATTCTAATATTATTTTATAACTATTTTGAAAATTTTTTCCGGGAACTTCCTGACGATTGAATGATATATATTGGTGATTAGAATAATCCTAATATTGATGACACTGGGACAGAATATTTTTGTTTTGGTTTTCGCTGCATGAGATTCTTTAATCGATTTTGGATACTTTCACGCCACTGATTTCATATCCGCAATTGGTTGCACTATCTAAGCTGCATTTTTTAACGATATATGTCGAAATGTGCAAGTTCAAAGACGTTATATATTACAAAGGGCCGCATAAATGTTATGGCAAACATCTAGGAGAGTTAAGGCACATCGTCAAGATTAAAATATTAACTTATGCCCGGAAATATCACACGCCGATAGAGGCTCTCTCTGCCTCCTCATGTGGTTCTGATCAGGCTGCACAGGGAAGAGCCCCTAGCAGCGTACAGTGACGTTTAATTGCTGATGATTTGCTGGAAACTTGTAGCAACATTTACGCTATCCTCTGTTATATATATAACGTTTTTAAACTTGTACATTTTAACAAAAAATAGAATGAAAATGTCATGCAAAAAAAAATATCTGTAGCCTTAAGAGCAAAACTAATTTTAGATTTGAAATCTCCACACCAGAATCTGCACCATCAAGTATTTGTATAAATATAACATAAAATTTGTTCCCCAGTGTAATTGAAAAACATTTATATACATTGATAATTGGATAATAAATATTTATGGTCTCCGATGATCAACATTATTGCCTTTGTGATAACTGAAAGCTCTTATAAGTAGAAAAAAATATGCTACTGCTAGAAGTAATTAAAAAAATCGATTAATAGTATTAATACATGATTAAATCTCAAATATTTAAGAAATGTTCGAATAATTTCTCCAGCTTATTTGTACTTGAAATACACAAGATAACAACTTTTACTCAGAAAATAAAAATAATGAAGTAATAGCGTCTCCATTTAATACCTACTTTGAAAAATGTATAAGCCTATTAACGAAATTAATATCAATACCCAAATTCTCTTCTATCCACTTTCTAATTAATTATTGGTTGGGCAAGGAAATAGAAAAAAAAATGAAGATAAGTTGCTACTTTAGCCTCATGTGCCGTAACTCTGTTATTTTGGGGGTTTGTTTTAAGTCTTTTAAAAACAATATTTCATTATATTGTTACGGAGAAAAGAAAATTATTTGGGAGATAAAAAGTCTTTTAATTACATGAAATATTTCAAGAATATAGATTTTTCAGTACCCAAATAGGATTTTGCCGAAGGGGTATAAAACTTGAAATAATAGATTTTAGATCATCCGATAATAGAATATTGATAAAAAATGTTTGACCAAGTTAGAATCAGTCGTTTAAATTATTTGAACATGAATAAATATTGTTTAAGCAATGTGTATTTTATGCATTTTATCATTAATCAAATTATACTTTTAAAGTAAAATAAAGATGAAATATAAAATGTGAAATTTTGGTGCTGACGCATTAAAGTATGTTGTAAAGAATAATTTAGCTTAATTGCAAAATAATAATTAGTAAAGTATTTTTTTTCTAAATGACTTTTAATGTGAAGGTTTAACGTCTTGACGCAGATGGGACATTGGTGTCCTTTTCATATACTTTTGATGAGCTAATTACAAGTAAAAATATGTTTCGATGTATTTTATTTATAAAAAAATTGTCGAATTGTTACTAAAAAATCTTTTAGATTATCAGAATTATATTTGTGCCAAAATATAAAAAAATATTTTTCAATTTTTTTATTCACATTCAAACATTTATCAATAGTTAATTTTGGGAATCGAAGAAATTTCAATGATGAATTGCTGTTTCTCTTAGATCTAAATAACAGCAAATAAGCACACATTTGATAAAAAAAAGATTGTTTGGAAGTGAGCCGTGTTTGGAAGATTTTATATTTAACGCAGCAATAGACACTGGTCTCATGCTTCATTTCATAACCATAAATTATTAAAATGCTAAATATAATATTTTTCACTTATTTAGATCTAAACTCATGCAATTTAGTACTTAATAAATAATAATAAATAATAATTAATAAATAATAGTAAGTAAATAATAATAAGTAAATAATAATAAGTAAATAATAATAGTTAATAATAAATAATAATTAATAAATGATAATAAGTGAACAATAATAATTAATCTATACATAATAATAAAAGCGGCTGTGTGTGTGTGTCTGTAATCACAATATATC